CACAACCAGTATGACAACAGGACTCAGTGTTGCTGTGAGAATGAAGGTGTTCTGGAGATACAACCCAAGCATTCATCTTGCTGTGCAAAGGAGTCAGCTAACCCTGAAGGTCAGAAATGGTCAAATGCAGTCTCATGCACATCTTAAAAAAACTTTTTAAGATTTAGCTCTTAGCTTCATAATTTCTATTAAAATGTAATGACAAATGATGAATTAATGGCAATTATTTTTGGTTTAGTTTGGTTTTCCACTTCAAAAGTCTTTGTGCTTTATCTTTACAGGTTTTCAACAACTGGTAAGATACATACTGCAATAAAATATCATTCTTTTATTTTTTCGTGCAAATATATGAATGTTTGCATTTATGTTTTATATTTTTCAGACACATGAGCTCCAACACTTTTGGTAAGTAAATGGTTTTTACTATAACAATTTTTACTATAATGTCATATGTAGACAAATGTAAATTTAATCTAGTCAAGATTGACTATCATGCATTCAGGCTTTGTAGGAAATGTTCTACTCTAATTTGAATTTATTTACAGTTGTGCTCAAAAGTGTACATAGACTCATCACTGGCATGAATATCATAGTAAATTTGTGCTTAAATTATTTCTTTGAACTGCTCTTTTTCATGAGTGACTATACAGCACACACCTTTAATAATTTAACAAACAATGGGTGCACAAGTTTGAAATGATTTTTGATCTTCTGTAATCCCCACAGTGCCAAAAGTCTAAATACACCCCAACTAAGTTAAATGTCCCTTAGTAAGTCACACCTAAACCACATACTTTTGGTAGCCATGAGCAAGCTTTTGGCATAAATGTGATCACTCTTCTTGGCAGAATTGGTTAATTAGGGGTTAGTTAATTGAAATTTGTTGGTTTATAGACACACAATTGGCTTTAAGCCTGGTCCACCAATTTTTTTCAGTTGGATTGAGGTCACAGATTTAATCTTTACTGAATGAAATCTGAGTACACGCAGTAAAGTGTGATGCCATCCAGTAGCCAGTAAAAAGAAATATACCTGTTAATACTTTCTGTTCTGCTCTGTGGTAGTGTACCAGTGATATGGAGTGGGTTTTGTGTTTATTTTGGCTGTGTTTGTCTATCCACAGCACTGAACCAAACACACATCTCTGTGGGTCGACATGTTACAATCCAAAGACGCATCGTTGCTGTGAGAGACACCAAAAGCCTTTTTGGTTCTGCGCCTCAGGTATTACCGTCTCCATAGCTGTTTCTTTGAGTGAGTGTGTGCCAAGGAAAGTTTTCAAGAACTCTGCATAGTCCTGCAAAAACAAAAACAAAACTAAGAACACTCTTAAAGCTTCCCTGCAGATCTATCATTGATCATTGTATGTGACATTGCATCATCCCATGGTTTTTATGTGGGCCTGTAGAGTGAGTTGAATCAGATAAGGAACAGCCCGTGCTCCAAGAAGGCAGTTAGAGCTGAGTGAGCAGTTTAAACATGTTTATCTTACGTGCAACCGTGTAAAAACAAAGAATTATTTGCAGCATAAATTTCCCCTAAAGGGAACATTGCATCATTTGATTTTGTGACAGCATCTCATTTTGGAAAATCCCTAGAATGGAAAACCACAAAGAGATAAAATAACAAGCTTAACAGGCTCTATCGTCAAGATGTTGTTAAAGAACTTTCATCTAGGATGATGAAACTATATTATATTATACTGTAATCTGTTTGCTCATTGTGAAGTCAATACCAAAAAACCCTTTTCCAAATGTTTAGGTGAGGGGCATGTTTCCCACTGTGCTGCATCCTCCTGTCTTTTTACACAACTTGTAAGAAATTAGAAGATCAAATAGCTTTTGAAGTCGCATGTTTTCACAGTCTCATGTTTCAAGTGCTAGCCAGTTTTTTTGCCTCTTTAGTTTTCCACAAAGTGCCAGATGTTTTTATTGGGTGGCAGATCCTGAGGAAAGCATCAGTTTATCAGCCATGCTTTTATGATAGTTACAGACTGAAAAGAAGGCAATCTTATCTGCACGTGTTCCTCCAAAGCATGTTCATTATTAATGGTGCTTTCAAGTTACCCTGGCCCTATGCCTCTATAATGGTACCCGTAAATAACGTTTTATTGGTCCCTATTTAGCTTGGATGATGTTGGCAGCTGAAAGTGTGATTCATCAGTCCAGAGAACAGTTTTCCAGTTAGCCTCATTCTATCTAAAAATAAGCTCAGGCCCAGAGAAGTAACAGTATAACTAAGGAAAGATCATGGCTATGGGTAGAATAAAATGATTTCTGTTTGATTCAGTAATTCATCCAACACATTGTCATCTATACTTGAACTCTTTATGTGAAGTCTTCCTACTAACAGCCATGCTTTAGAACTTTAAGGGTTCCTTTTACAACAATGTGATTAGTCACTTGCAGCAATAGTCCTGACAGAACATTGCTATGTTGTTATGCAAGTCAATAAGGTACTGCATAATACACAGTCTTTTCTCACTTGACCTTCCATATGGACCTCATGCCTGTATGGTGATTTAAAAAAAAAAGAAAAAACTATAATTATTATAGTGTGTTTAGTGTCAGGAAAGAGTCAGAGTCATCATGGGGTTGAAACGTACCCCAGCTGCATGGCTCTGTTTTCCAACCAGAGGCAGGATGAGCCCCTGAACAGCTGATCAGTCTGCAGACTAGGACCCAGCACTTTCTTCTTGTGAGGCAACCATGCCAAGCGCTGCACTACAATGACTGACCCTGAACTTTAGTTCAAGTAGTGAGTTGTTGTAATTTAACTGTAACTGCCAACACTGTTATAAATCCATCAAATCAAATCTGCCACAGAGACAGTTTTATGCCTTAAGTTAAATGGCTTTTGCCCAAAAAGAGGGACTGTTTTAAAAGAAGTTCACAAACAAGTTCACACTGACATTCTTATCTTAGGTGTGTAAATAACTCTGACAGTTAGAAAGTTAGACAAAACAATTTTTTTCTAAGGGTCCCCTGAAGACTTTAAGTATTTTTTTCATCAAACTTTCAGGCAGTGAAGTATGTCTTTATTTTTCCAGACAGTACATCTTGCCAAGATCAAAATCATGGAAAATGTAAGCTGTGCGGAAGGGTGGTTCACTTACAAATAAAAACTTTTTTTTCTCCCTACATAGAAAAAGATTTCATTGTTCATATTAGCAAAAGGTTAAATTGCTATGGGAAAATGGTCTTGATATTTTTTCCCAGACCACACAATAGAAAGAGCTTCCATCTTTTTGAACCACCCTATGAAAACATTAAAGCTTTGCAATGAATAAAAGGGGATAACTCAGGATTATCTTTGAATCCAAAAAAGGATGTGCAGCAGCTGGTTTGTTCAAAATCTTGGCATCTATATCAGTTACTGTACTCCACAAAAGACTTTCTTTTTTTTTAATCACCATATCTTAATCATCAGGCATTAAGGCATTAAATTCGGAGGGTTTACACTCCCTTCATCTCCACCATTTGTGACTGCTTGCAGAAATTTGGCTGCACACACCTCACCCTGCTTACTTTTTTTTTTTAAGTATTCCAGTGTGGAGAATTAAGGCTCTAAGCCCGGAGGTGGAGGGTTTTAAACATGTGGTTTGGTCTTTCCATAATATGTGAGCTGTTCAGCAATGTCTGGTATGCTTAACAGCCCACATCAGGGTGTGTAGTGTTAACTTTTATCCTTTTTTTGCATTTTCCTGCACTAGTTGAGCACTCAAAACACTTTCTACTATAAATCCCTTTCACCCAGTCACTTACATGTAGGACTAAGCACTTTTATCTAATATTCAGACACACTCACACTACCGTGTATGCATCAGTGGTAACTCAGTATCTTGTTCACTATCTTGCCCAATGAAATGCATAGTGGGGACAGCTCTTCTACCAACCTAGCCCCCAGATGCCTCCTACAAAGACTTGGAAACCAACCGAATTCCTTTATTTTATAGTCGGTATTTTGCAAAGGAGGGAGAATAAAGCAACTTGTGTGTAACAAAGTTACACACGAGGTAAAGTTGTCTTATTTACCTCAGATCCTCTGAGTCATCTTTCAAAGACATCATTAATCACAACATGTTTTATTTTTACTGCAACTACTATCTCCTCTTTCCACCTAACCCCAACCCTCACACCTATCTGTTTAGGTCAAAGCAAGGCCAGGGTGTATGACCCACGTATAGAAGTCTGCTGTGATGGATCCGTATTTCGATGCAAGCCATGGATAGATCAAGTAATATACAAATTGTTTTTTGGGTTTTTCTTTTCCTTTTCTGGGCCTGCTCAGCTGTTTGTGTTTTTTAATCAGTGTAAAGTGCAAAGCTCAACAGTTTTAATCTCTTTTTCTGTAGGAAAATGAAATCAAGCTTTCAAATTATGGCTAAAGCCTAAAGCACTGTTTCCTTAAAAAAACAGAAGGGAAAACATATTAATGGCATTTTGGCGAGATTTTTCATTAAAGTCTTTGTTATTAAAAATGAAGGGCCTCATGCTGCAATGTTCAGTTTTACACAAATAACTGACAGCAATGGTACCTAGTGATCCCAGACAAAAAAGGTTGTTTTTGTGCAGCTTCGATGAGAGAGCTTGGAGCTCCACCCCGCTCCTCTTATACAGTAACTGAGGGTGTTTTTCAATCTGATGTTTAAACTCATCTAGCGGTGTTGGTTTTGGTTACCACTACTGCAAAAGGTCCATAAATCTGGTAAGACAAAAAAAAAAAATTAGATATGCTATGTGTGGAAATGAGACCTGTGTAATGTTTGAATTGTTTCAAGTTTTTGTTTTTTTCCTGATTTTTGCATTTCATCTTCTTTTTGTAAAAACTCATAAATTTATGTGTTCATCCATGTACATTTAAATGCGCAAATAAAAGGGTTTGGCTGTTTGTGCATTGTTGAACAATTTACTGCATTATTTCTGATTCTTCAAGTGCTGTGGAGTGACTGCGTATGCTCAGCATAACGTGGAGTTCTCTGTTGTAATGACACCTTGTACGAGGGCAGAGATGATGGAGAGGAATGTTCAGAGGTGTGTATTCCTTACAATTCAGCTAAAGGGACTCTATGTTGTTCTCAGTTTTATGGCAGCCCGGGACAACACTGCTGTGGGACGGAAATTTACCGGCCTCGTACTGAGATCTGCTGCAACGGACACAGGTGATTGTGTGTGTGTGTGCGTGTGTGTGTGTGTGTGAGTGAGTGTGTTTGTGTTGCTGCTTTACATTGCTGAGAAAGTCCAGTGAAAAATGAGTTCTTTAACTTTGTCGTTTTAATCAGTTGGAATATAACGCTGGTTGGAATTTTGTCAGACAGGGTGGCTGAAAGTATGGAAACATTTTCTATTTGTAGTCTGTCTCTTGAGTGAAAACAGAAAAACCCAGAAAGGTGAAGCAGGGAAAAAAACATTTCGCACGAAACCGTCTGAGAAAGGCAGATGTTCTTTTTTCCCCTTGGAAAATGCGCTGAACTACTGTGCTAAGGAATCTCTCTCAAACAGCCTGTCTGGGTCTTTTATTGGGTTTGGTGCTGACTGTTAGTTGTTACACCCTGTCTGGTCATGACTTATGTCTTTCAGTGACTGATTTTTTTATTTTGTTTATGTGGACACTAACAGAGAGCTGAAGCGGTAGCTCTAATGATCTACTTTTAATTCCCAGCCTGTGTAAAGACTGTGGTAAAGACATTATCTTTCAAGCTGGCATCCAGCAGTGAACATAAGAACTCTAACTCAGCCTGTTAGGAGCATGTTTCTTCATGTCGCTGTCCATATTTAATTTTAATTAGTACCTCTGTTTTCCACCCAAACAAATCAGAAAATGTGTGATTTGTTTAATTACTTTACATTGCTGATGAAAACTGGAATTTCCTCCTTTTTTAGAATCAGTATGGGAACACGGGAGCATGGGAACAACTTATTCTGTCTCTTCTGTGAGAACTAAGGGATTAAAAAAACATCTGCATGGCAAAATCCTTTTAAACAGACATGGTGTCTGAGATAGGAAGACACATAATTACCGGAGCAGAAATTCTGCTTCATCTGTTTCCTCTTAAGTTACTGTGCCAAACAACTTCTCTTTGTCAGCCTGTCTGAGTCCCTGACTCTGACTGCCATTGGAGATTGTTATGTTTAAAAACCCTGTCTGTGTGCATGACTCATCTCCTGGGATGCCTTTTTGTTTTCAGTCAGATTTCTCAGAACCCACCAGCTGTGACGTAATAACCCTATTCACCACACTACTGTGTTGCCCTTACCGTTATTGCATCATTCAGTATTTCTCATATGGGTTGAAAGAAGTATTGATGTATAAAATATCACGTTCAGATCTCAGTTTCTGTTTTATGGTTAGTTCCAGATCAGCTGAACTCGTTGAATTGTGGCTGTTTTCAGCTACAGTAGCTGTACAGTAACAGCAACACTGGGTATAAATGCATTCTGTGTAGACTCTGAGTGTTGAAATTGCTCTGATAGTGTGTTTCTTTCACTTCACCCTGTGTAAACACTGTTTTGAAGCAGAGAGGAAGTTATCTTTCAAGCTGACTTCAAGCAACATACATAAGCAGTGATCTAAGTGGGCTAGTACTTATATATTGTCTTTCTACTCAAGCAAACACTCAAAGCACTTACTTCTATAAGCATCCTTCACTCAAATATAGACATTCATACAGCTCATTTATGAGCCTAAGTACTTTGTACTAATATTCGGAATGCAACAGCAGCAACTTGGGGTTCACTTAGCCTCTTATGAACATACTTCTTTATGTCACTGTACTTAATTTAATTCTAACTGCTACCTCTGTTTTCCACTCAGACACCCCAAATCAGAAAACCTTCACTGCTGTGGGGTCAAAGCCTACAACATTAAAGACCCACAGATAAAGTGCTGTGCAGGAACACTGTACAATCTGACATCATTAGACAAGCATGGAGGGGACGCTCAGTGCTGCGGATCCATCCTGCAAAAGCCACAGGTAGATTTATTAATGGTGTTATCTGAGGATCTGTTGTTTGTCCATCTATTCATGTCTTACACTGTATTATATCATTGTCACGGTTTGCTTGAGGACTCACACGCAGGACTCAGAGGCACAGTTGGTATTTATTACAGTTCCACCAGGTGTATATACAAATAGTGCAGGGGTAGTGCTATATACAAAGCGGTGACAGGGAAAAGGCTTCGGGGAAATCCAGGTAGGGAAAAGACACATGCTCCTCTTCTGACTATCTCCTATCGTGACCAGTCTCTCTCCAAACACTCACAAAATAACAGGAATCCGCTCGGGGAATGCAGGGTCGGGTCCAGGGGATCTATGTACAGAAGGAAACACACATTAGAGGTTTTGCGCAGGGAAGCAAAAGAGAACTTGCTCAGAGCCGGGCTGCACTGACGCGAGTCACACATAACAATCCAGCGATGAGTAGAAGCCACTCCCTGGCTTAAATGCTGGCTGCACTGATGAGGCCCAGGTGTTTCCTCTTCAGAGGGGCGTGGGCCGAGGGCGTGAACCCACCGTGAGTTCTGCCCTGGCGAGAGAGCGAGAGAGAGAGAGCAAGAGAGAGAGCAAGAGAGAGAGAGAACGCTACTAGTCAGCGGCCTGCTGATCCCCTGGCCGTGACAATCATAAGATCTTATAACATAAAACAGTTGTGAAGTTGGAGTAGTTATTGTTAATATCAGGCTC